GACTGGGGCATTTTTGTTGGTGGAATATCATCAAAGTCTTCTCTAACTCTTCCTGGGGCTAGAAATAGTGTCGAACTCGTCGAACTCTTGTTGACTAAAATCCAGGTCGTTCCTTCTCCTGTGCCTGGCCGGTGCCGCGGTACACTGTTGCGTTTCCACCCACAACGCCGGCTGAAAATCAACCCTAGTGGACCCCATTTGTGATGGTCTATTAGCTCTTTAAGGCGTCTTTACATGACTCCTTTTACTACTAATCTTTATTATTTAGATTTGCTGCGCTGGCCTATGGTAACCTCACTCATACGGCGAAACACAACTATCTGGTTGTTTCACGCCGTTTTCTTTAAGGCTTCTTTTTGTGAGGGGAAAATCATCAAATGACTCTTACTTACTAAAAACCCCCCTGTTCCTTCTCCTGCTCTGGGCCGAGGTCGCGGTGCCTCATTGCGCTTACCCCGCAACCCCGGCTGGTTTTATTTGAGGCTGTGGTATCACTCCGTTCGAGCCGACGTGCTGAAGCACAAAACAAATGACTATACAATATAAGTACAATATCGTTTAGATCAATCTACGTAGATCAGCAAGCCGGGTACCTACATATATTATTGCCTCTAAAAGAGCTTGTTCCAAGTAATTTTATGATACCTACTTTATATGGTAATAAGGTAATTAGAAGAAACACCGATGGCTTCTTAATAACCTATTTAAAGCGGCTTAAACACCGTGTACCTAAGCAGGTTTTAAAGTAAGTACATCAAGCTAAATATGTCCTAGGTTTTAATTTTCAGTTTTTCAACACGACTGATGCCTACTTTTTCATAATTGCTTATACTTTACTGTTTTTGTTAAATCTATCGTAAACATTTTTTTAAAGAGACGTTGCCCCACTTTTTTATTGGGTCCTGTATCGTGGTTGCGTTTACCAACATACAATTCCACAGACAGATAACACCAAGAGCCGGAACAACAATTTGTGGATCAACACAAAGAGTTGTTCGGGCGGGAATCGTACTTGATGGACTCGTTGCCCAGCCACCGCGCCAACGATGCAGACATGTAGTTTGAAATAATCGTCACGCTTGTCAGACGGCTTGGGGATCGCAGTTTGGTCACTGAAATCTTAAAAGATTGTCCTTCAGTGATTGGTAACAATTTTAAAATACACTCCGTATAAACAGTCTAGTTAACTGCAATAGATTTTAATCCTAATCAATCTCGTTATAAAGTTGAAAATTACTAATTAGATAAACTTGATATAGTATGTCCGAAGAAAGTATGATCAGGGCATGAGGAAGCTAGAAGCAATTACTTGTCAACTATTCCTACTAACATACCGAGGGCACTTTACATATCAGATGGGCTCAATTGAAACGCGGGCCGGGGCTTTTAATTAGTAATTAGAGTAATTAGACGCATCGCCTGCGCTTGCGACGATTGACAGACAAATGTGTGCACCGCTTCCGTGATTTACTTAAACGGGAATGACAGGATTATTGGAGTAGTGGACGTATTTTTCATTGAATGGCGGCCATATTATTTTATGTGAGTTATTATCGATTATTGAGATTTTATGATTATGAGATATGCTAGCAAACAATTTAACAACAGATTACCTGATCGTAAGCAACCGCTTAAAACACGTGCCGTAAGTTTCGTAAGATTTGAAGATTCTGGGTTTGGGATGGGGTGGGTCCTCCGATGACCTTACACGTATGGCGAAATACAAAGCTGTGGTTATATCACGCTGGTCTTCTGTGAGGCCGTGGTTTCACCGGGACGGATGGATGGCTCTCCCACGTGTTAAAAAAGTGATCAATACAGGAATTCGAAGAAGAATAGAAGAATCCTACTAACTGCATAAAAAATAGTGTTAAGTTCTTGACACTTCTGTTGGAGAAAAACGTTACTGTAAGATCTACGAAGAGGATTTTTTTCTTCTGTCGTAGTATTATCTTCTGTACATAAACGTTTATATATACTTTCTATGAATATTTAGACACCACTAACATAAGGTGAAGGAAAACATCGTGAGGATACCTGGACTTATAATATCTAATCATTAGTTTTAAATCGCCTGAGCAATCGTAGTGATTTTTCAAATTCTTCTATAGGTGATTGACAAATTCTTCTCCGTGTGAGAAGAGGCCTTTGCTCAACAATCAGAACTTATAGGTTAAGGATGTGATGTGTACAAAAACAAATCTTATTGAAAAACAATATTATATATTAACATGAGTTAATGTGAAGCTGTAAATAACAGTAAAACGAAGCAACTTCCTAACATTGTAACTGTTCTTAACGTGCACCTCATTAACTGAAAATTGCACGATTAATTACTGAGACGCGGCGCGGGCGCACCGTGACCACGCCGTAATTACTGTGGTGACAACACTACTGCTGTACTGTGGGACAATATGACTACTAAACTGAACTATTCAATGAGGACTCGTGACGTGGTAGGTTGCCCTTTCTTGTGCAGGAGAAAACATTAAATGACTTCTCGCGCCCAGGGCGATGAGTGAGAGAGTGTCAGACTCTTACTGACTGAAAATCTTCCCTGTTCCTGCTCTAGGCCGAAGCCGCGAAACCTCATTGCACTTGCCCCGCAACTCTGGCTGAGCGTCTGGTACTTGTGTTTTGAAGAGAAAGATTACCTATTACGAAAAATCAAGGTTGTAGAAAGGATGGAAACGCCAGTAGGGGTCACACTCAAAGATTTTATGGTAGGTGATATTAACGCTCTGCATTATCTGCATACCTATTTAGTAAATCTGTATGTAAGTATCTACCTTATTTAATATCATCCCCTTTTAATTTCATTTCTTTTTGCATAGGTAATTGTTGGAGATGTGATGGAGTTTAATGCCGAAGGCCAAAATTATATCTTTTTTAAGTGCTAAGAACAGTTTTCTTAGAGTGGAAATAACTCTCAGATGCTTTCTTCCACCCTGGATGGGAAACGACTTCGTTCCTTTTGCTACTCCGGGCCGGATCTACAGAATACCTACTATTCACTTGCATACGCAGCAGGACAGTTCAGTACCTACTTACGTATTTTTTGTGCAAAAAGTATTTACCTAATTATATAAATAAATAGATAACTTACAATGACATTACCGATTTAGTATAAGATTACATTGTTTCTAAAACTAAAGTCTGATTAAATTTTTGTCACGTGTCCTTTCAGCTATGATTAAAAATCAAGAAATCAGTCTTACACCGTTGCGTAGATACCAAATGTGTCCCAACTCCTTGGTAAATACAACATGGCGCCCCTAGCAATAATGGCCTCTCGTTTGTTGTTTTAATTTAGCTCTAAATACACGCATGTGTTACTGTCATTCATAAATAGATATAAATTAGGTGGGGACCGCTTCTTTTCATTAGTATTTTACTCAATTAAGTATTTTATATTAGTGTAGACATAGGCTCATGATTCATGAAAATGACGTCGATTGTCTTTGGTTTCGGATTTGGAAGCCATTTTTTATTGTTACCCGGTTACTTGACTTTAAGATTTGTGATTTTAATTGCTGATAGGTAGACACTTTAAATCTTATTTTTCAATTCTAAGCAAAAAATCATTAAGTTATATCCAACAATCGAATCGTAGTGGCTAGGTAGCGCTGTATACCTACCTTATATTATTAGGTATTGAGTTTAGTCTAGGTGTGTTTCCCAAGTTTCTTTATGTCATACCTAAATAGTACGACACACGAGCACACGCAACTCGAGATTTAAAGCTATTTGCAGGCCTTCTATTAATTAGAAAATTTGAATAATTTAGAAAATTAATCATATGGAGTTTTGGGGATATGAGAATCCGGGATCTGGTGATTTCTGGGATATGGGCATTTGCGATTTTGAGTTCCATCTATATGGGGGTATAAGGATCACTTATCCTTAAGGATAAGGATTATGCCGCCCTCACAACCTGACTAACACGACGAAACACAACACGAACGATCTTTCACGCCAGTTTTCCGTATCTATCATCATCGGCCAACAACAAAAACAAGTTAGTACCTAATTTTACTTGAGCTAATATTCTGGCTCAAATGGACCTGATGATGTTTGCCTTCCAAATACTTACGCGTAGGTATATCAAATTCACTTCCCAACAGAATTATCTAAATTATTTTTTTTAATGAATACCTACCAAAGAGTATTTAAACACTACGTTCTAAATACCTACCTAAATAGGCCCCTACTGCAAGCGACAAGATATCTGGTTTGACAGTAATCGAAGTTGACAACGAGCGCCATTGGCTGACAGCCAAACGTCTATTAGTTCGCCTTTACAACTTCATTAAAGATGTCAAGCGAAACTAACAATGTGAGCAACATAAACCAACATAAACTGATCCCTAATGAAACGTATAACACACCATAACAGTTTCAATGATGTCTACAAGTGGCGCCACTGGTAGAGATCAAATTATATTGGCAATTTTGTTTGTATAAATTTTGTATTTGTATAGCATTTGTAATTACTTGTTCTGTATTCTGTGGTAATTACCTAGTGTCTGGTAGTAAATTGTTATAGGTACTAAATATTTATGCGTGGAGTAGAAAGTTTTCTAAACGCTTGATTAATAGGTGCCAACACATTTATTGTAAAGTGGGTAAAAAACGCGTCGCTGTTCGTCGCTGCGAGGGAAGCAAATAATTTCACTGACTAATAAACAGTTCAGCTCGTAAAAATAACAGTATGAAATTCAAAAATATGTGAAATTAGAATACAAACTCTAATATCTAATAATTTAAAGAAATCAGAATTTCTTTTTATATTAGAACGCCATCTTTTGTCCAGTAGCAGAACTGTTATAAAAGCTCCAACTTTCCTCCGCCATCTAACGCAAAACACTTGAACTAAAATGCTAAAACGTTTCTTTACTGCATAGTGCAATGACATTTGTTGTCAAAGTGGTCATTATTATGCTACTAAATTAAAAAGAGACAGTATCTTTCAAAAACGCCTCAGTTATATGTTGCTAAAAGGCGCAAGTGGCGACATTACTTTTGATGCATAACTTTTGCTCATAGTCGGGTAATATTTCAGTCGATCAAGATTGACGTGAGATCGCGACGTCATCACGTCACAATTTCATTGAAACTAGTTTTCGGAGCGGGAATGGTATGAAGACATATCGGTTTCGAAAATCAAGAGATTGCAAAAAGTTACGCGTATCACAATGCCGCCAAGTAGCTTACGGGTAGTGTACGCGTTCGCCAGAGAAATGCATCCGAAAACGACCGATGTTTTCATACAATACGGCACAGCCGGATTTCGCACAAAGTGAGTACAATTTTTACCATTATTTTTCAGTTATTTTTATATGTCCAAATAAAATAAACACTTAACAGCAAAATAAACACAAATTCGCCGCACCTTTCTCTTAAGCTCTGTTGATTTTGTCACGTAAGCAAATTGTCTTGCTCGTATAAGTCGATAATAAGCAATAGTAACAATTTGTGAGTCATCTGTAATAATTTATAACGAATTCGTAACGGGAAGTCGCTGACACAACTGACTGTGATTATGGTCAATGACTCGTGATGTAAAGACAAAACAATGGGACAAAATCAGATGTAGATAGGCCATTTAGTTCAACAGCATAAAATTATTATACAGTGTATTAATAAATTAAACGTTTATGAGGAAAATGCTAAACGAGTAAGGCCTTATCAATTAAAATGACAAACAAACAAAGCTGCATTGATACCTTCCTACACAGTTTTTAAAATTATTCTGAACTATGTGGCGGGGCTAATGTAAAGAATAACCCACTCACTGGTGGTAAAACGTGCCATAGAGTTTTATCATAACAGAAATAAACTGCTTGCTCTAATAAAGAGGTGACAGGTCATATTTATAATCTATAATTTTGTTGTATCTCACATGTGACCTTTTCCGGTATAAATGATTTGAAATATTCACATGTTTTGAAATAAAAACTGATTTATTATTTATATTATTAAGTTGATTAAATAAGGTGTGTAAATTAAGGAAAGTGTTCTTCATATTAAAATGGTTATTAATATTTAATAAATTCACACTTCTGGGTTAAACGCAATATAGAAAATTTTGCATAAGAATATAAACCACTACAAATAATATAAAAATATTATAATCAATTCCCTACATTTCAATTTAATTCTTATATTCTAAACTTGAAAGTAAATGTAAGTACATTATTATTTTCTAAATAATGAAGTTTTGCAACATAAAAAGATATTGCAACGACTTATTCAAGTTATTTGAAAGTTTCAAGGCTAGTAAATATCTTCGAAATGGTTAACAACTGTTTTAAATAAATTTTCAATACTTTATGCATTATCTTTGTGCTCTAGTTTTAAACACTACAATACTGAAATGTTATTAAATTTTTCAACGAATTCCGCCTATTTTAACACTTCTCTATTTGTTTGAAAAAAGACAAAACATTCTTATGACTTTTGAGTTTAAGTTTAGTGTACTTATAGGTTTCAATACTTAAACACTACGTTCAATATGGGTGTGTGCAGTAAGAAAAATAATACCATTATTACTCCCCAGCCTCATACAATCAGGTATAAAATGTGATAGGTATTTAATAGTAAAAAATATATTCTTATATAAATTGAAATAAAAAACACAGACAAATAAATAACAAGTAGTTATTATTTGTATAGTATTTAGTTAACACAGTAAGTAGCTAATAGTACTGGGTCACTATCAATTAATAAGGTCATGAGTTAATGTACACCTAATTTAGCTATTTTAACGGCAGTCTGTCTGTCTGTCAGTTCCTATGACATCCCTAGTTATGAAAACACTGATGAATCACTATGTTGAACTTAGTTTTTTGACTCATTAGTGGACCTAGAAAGATTTATCCATAAAAAGAATATAGCAAAATGTTTATATTATCGAGGGGATGGGAGGAAGTACTAAATTCTTATATTCTTCTTAAAATAAGTCAGAAGATTATTTTATTTATTTATGTGTGCAAGCCTAATAATGTACCTCTTCAAAGTCCGGAGAAGGAGAAGAAATGGATTGGTTTTTAGTCAGTAAGAGTCTGACACACACTCTCACTCCACTCAGAAAATGTGCATAGTGTCTATTTTTGATCTTGTAATAAATTTTTATAACTTAATTTTTATAAAAATAACCATGCAATCTTAAACACTACTGATACAAACAGGAAATCACAAATAACTGTTCTAAAATTAGAAGAATTTGCAAAGCATATAATACCTACATCCGCAAAATAGCAACATATTTATATTGGGGCTAACATACACCAGATTGCACAAACAAATCCGCCAATGCAAATGCCTAAAACAATAAAAATACCACTTTGATCCCCACCTTTTCCAATATATTACATCTGGCAACACTCCAACCACTTAAAAACATGTATTGACTTTATTATTTGTTATCTGAACATAGTTTTTCATATATTTATGTAACTATGAAATAATAATACTTGTTTTGTATGGGTCAGTTGCTTATTTACAAAGCAGTATCCAAGTTGTTTGATTTTAATCAACTGTTATATTTGTACCTCTTTTATTTATTTTCTTGGGTTGTTAAATTAAGTCATAATAATACAGATTATCTAACAAATCCCTTATGTATTGAATGTCAAAAATATCCATCCTTATTTACTATTTTTATACTTTCTGCCTTTGGCGGCTTCGTCAGCAGTACCAAGCAAAATGTATATATATAGTCTATGTGCGATTCCAAATTGTAATCTATATCTGTGCCAAATTTCATTCAGATCCAGTTAGTAGTTTTTACGTAAAAGAGTAACAAACGTCCATAATAACAAAAATTCGCGTGCATTACGTACTTAACGTAAGATTTTTTTAAACTTGATGTGCTTCTTTTTTATTTGTGTTTTTGCACCCTACAGTTTCATAATTTAACAGTGAAATGGCCATAATGGCTAGATACCTACTTATTACTGATGATATAACGGAAAGCCAGTCTTTGCATCAAATATGTATACTAACTGTTATACTATAGTAGATTTTTAACTTTATTACAAAGAAAATAAGATTGAAAATGTATTTATATCTAACCTCAGGTTCAGTTGAAAACCAGCGTCAGGCACTAGTTTTCTGGCATACATGCTGAACTGAACCTTTTTTTGGCGCTGCTGTGAGGCACACAATAATTGTATTTTAATTCTATTTTTATTTTGAATCTTCTATTGTTTGCTTCATGATTGTGATTTTTATGTGCCCTGCACTGTGGCAAAATAAAATTATTTTCTTTATTTCTTTCTTCTATAAATAAGGCAGGTGGGAAAGCTTGATTTGCCGTGTGTGTTTGTTTATAAGTTCACCTCTACCTGGCTAGCCTACTCAAGCGTACCTACAGTCATATTAATATGTAATAAGTTTGCCGTTAAAATTCCAAGCATACTATCGCATGCCGATTCTAATTAGCAATTACTAGCATAATTGAATTCTTGTTACGTAATATTGATTAAAGGATTTAACTATTGTTCGAGACCATGCGGACTGATTGGTTCGCTTAACCGCAGTGTTTTGTTTTAAGTAGTTCTTTTTGAGTCACCCGATGGTAAGCGATCAGTGCCACTCATTGTAAGGGACATCCAGGCTTCGGGACGAATGGGTCGGCTCGACTGTAGAGGTAGCACGGCCTCACAGGTAACCGTTGTGTTTAGCCATGTGAGTAAAGCTACCGGAGGGTCAATCCTTCCCCTTCCCCATTCCCTAAATCTCGAAACCCTAATCCCTACGACTAAGTATAGGAATAATTTCTTTTAATGATCGCTCCAGTTACCAAATGACTAGTAAAACTTTACAACATATAAGTCTGATTGTCGTAAGTTGGACTTTTCAAACTTGAAGGAAAGAAAGAAAGAAACATATTCACATAGAACACAGGTGTTACCAGATATATTAGTGGTTTACAGTTCAGGCTGTATTCTGCCTACGTTAGGCATGCAAATATTTTTATAAACTAATACAAATATATTCTATTATAAAGTTAACATTTATTATTATTAGATATTATTTGTCACACAAATAATCACGTTCATTAATCTTACATTTCATAAATTCTTCTATTGTATAAAACCATTTTTCTATCAGCCATTGCTTTTAAAATATTTGAATGGTAGTTCCCTTAGATTCCTAGGTAATTTATTAAAGACTGATATGCACATAGGTGGAAGGAATATAGGAGTACGTATTGTTGATCGTATTTCCTTTGCAGAATAAACCTGCTGCTAATCGTATTGTCTCCTTTTCGCACTGTCATTCATACACTCTTGCAACTAGACCAGTGATTCACATAGATTGTAGAATGTCGTCTTCTCCCGTTAGCCGATAAATGGACTAGACTAACACAAAAAGAATTGTTCAATTCGCACCAGTAGTTCCGGAGATGAGCGCGATCAAACTCTTCTCTTCAACAAATAATTTTTTTTCTAATCGGCATTGCCCACATTGCATACCAGGTTATTACTCTAGACCATTATCTATCTCAGTGCTAAATTCGGATCCGTTCAGTATTTTTTACGTGAAAGAGTAACAAATATCCACTTTTATAAACTTTCGCGTTTACTTATAATATTTATAGGATTATTATAAATGGAGTTGGTCCATGATACAATTCAATAGACAAATCATAAAATATCGATGCGTCAACAAAGAATGAATCACATGAATAATCGATTGTCTTTCGCAGTACCTACAGTGTAGGTATTCAGAATAAATATAAAACAGGTAAGACCGATAGACATCGGTATGTAGATTCCGCCAGCGGCTTGTGATCGTGGCTAAGAATAACTCCATCGTAACGGGAAGCTGCCAGTGTCGTAAGTAAGACACCGGTAAAAGATGGCATGTCATGAAGATGGACAGCATCCATCTATAACTAGATGAAGACTTTTTTTTGTAATCTTGAAGGTCTTTCAACGGAATTCACAAAAAGACGGTTCTTAATTCAGGTGGTATGTTTTTTGGGGATTTATTCATAAAAAATGATTCATCAATTTTTTTTCAATTGTTGTTATACCTATCGTGGCGAAAAGCAGATTTACCCATACATCTGATTCTAGTCATAGAATTAATTGCAATGTGTCGGTTACCGGAGGTCCAATCCGCAGCCCCCATCCCCAAATCCCCAACCATTCACAAAAGGCCGGCAAGACGACAAAGCACTTGTAACTCCTTTGGTATTGCGAAAGTCCCTCAACGGCGCCGATGCCGATTGCTTATCATTAGTTAATGCGTTTCATTCAAATATAATATATCATCTATACATATAAT